CTGAAGCAGCCCAGACTTCGCCCAGCTCCCCCCCCGTGCAAAAGTTCCACCCCTGGAGAAAGCCAGGCCCCCTCCCTTCGAAAAGCGGGGGTGGGTCGGTTTTTTTTTAACTTAGAGATTTTTTGAATGGCTTTTTAAACTTGATCTTTAGAAACCTTAATGTGTGTTTAACTGGTTTTCTTTTTTAAATAGGATATTTACATAGCGTTTTCAAATCTTGTTTTTGTCCCTTCTGAGGCCCCCTTAGCCGGCGATGGGGACCAAAGGGTGGCAAATAAAGAAATAAGGAGGCCCAGCCAGCCACTCCATGGCCCGGCCACCTTAAGCCTTCCACTCTCTCCCAACTCTTTGGTTCAGGACAGTAACAGGGTGAATTGGTGGGAGGTTGGGCCGGGCCTAGTTATTGCCCCCCCTCCCGGGGCAGAGGGCCCCATGGCAACCCCCAGCAGCTACTAAGGAGAGCCCCACCTGGAGAGAGACAGCTCCTGCCGCTGCTGGACAAAAAGACTCTGACTCGGGAGATGACCGCTTGCTCTTGGCTCTTGCCATCCCCCATGAACGGCTCCCCAAATTCCATATGAGCTTCAGAGGGTTCCAGGAATTGGCCAGTGCGCAGGATTTCCAATCGCTTAAGAACCGGACTTCAAAACAGCGCCAGGCGCTCTCCTGGTTCTAGCAGGCCATTTGGGGCCTTCTGCTCTCCCCTTCTGCCCTCCCAACCCCACGAGTGCCCTTCGAGAATCCCCCCCCCCCACAGCTGAAAGCAAAGCCAGGAGTTGGTGGGCTGCCCCTGTGGTTGAGACGGTTGTCGTGTATCACACGGGACACCCTCAATGTGCCCTCCCATGCCGAGCTTGCCCCTGAAGAAATCCTTGGTCCTTGGAACGATCCTAGAATCAGGGCGCTGGGCTTTAAAGACGGCCAATCCTCTCTCCTTTTGTCTCTGTTGATAGGCTACTTCTCCATTATGGCTTCAGCCGCTGCCTTCAAGACTCCCAGCAAGTCCTCTGACGGAACGAAATCAGGTGAGACTGAGCTCAGTCAAGATGTGGCATTCACTTCTTGGGCAAGGCCATGGTAGCGGTGGT